GAGGGGCTAACTATCATCCTACTGCATTTCCACACTAAAAATACATGTTTATTTCGATGACTAGCATTTATAAACATAAAAGGTGAACAGAAAAATTAACAAAATGATCTACTACGCTGAAAAACACTTCACAGCAAAATTTAAAATATGGCTGACTGACAGTTACTTTTTTTAGACAGACATCATATCAGTGTTGCCGCATAATGTGGCATAAGTCACTCGATGGTGGAAATTGTCATCTGTGGTGGAAATGGGGTCCAAGAAGGGTCCAAGCATAGAGCAAAGTAATACATACAAGGTGCATCACTGAACCTAGTTGGATCTTTAACCCAAGGTTTACGTGAAAGCTGTCTCTCATGTTCTGTCTTTTTCGTTGTGAGACCTACCTACGTATTCGCCTTATCTTTCGTTGCGCGTCTGAATTTCGAAATCCTTTCATCCGAACTCCATGAAAGGATCAACAATGAACAACACAGGCGGTTGTACGCCTATGCGCGCCTCTGTGGTCTACAATCTCTAGAGCTTGAGGCATTTGAGGTCCCGAGTTCGATTTATAGTGGAGGTAGATTTTCTGTTCGGTTTTATTGTTGTTCTAAATCCGCCTGGCTAGCTACTACCATTGTACCTACTTGTAAGAGTTGTAAGTCTTGTCAAGATAATAACAACAATGTTAACAGCATTATAATATGTATTGTATTCTGGGCGTTCGGCAGTTAGAGGTAAGATAGCCAGTGCCCCGATTGCGCTAAATATTTTCAACTACAACGCGACTAGACGAGGAACGAAAATTACAAATTCGTGTCGCTTTGACAGCTAGTTCAAACGAAAACAAAACGCAACTGCTTCTTTTTCTTTGTGTAAAAGCTGAAAGAAAGCTACTTTTTCTCAAACGCCTTCACGAACATTTGCTGTGTTTTAGTGAAAAAAAAAAAGGTTTTCGGACTTATAATGGAAAGTGATTAAATTCGTTGTTTTGTCTTTGTTTGCGCGTGAATTTTACCGCGATACCGAATTTGCACCTCAGCTGGAATGAAAAACGAAGCGCAACTGGAGAAGAAGCGCCCATGAATTGAAGACGTTTAAAAATTAGCGCAATCGGGGCTCAGTGCCCCGATAGAAACGATTATAAAAAATAAAGTGGGACTTCTTGGCGGGAATCTGAAGCGTCATGTTAGCGGTTTTGTTTTATTTCCTCAAATTCGTGTTTGGGCGACTATTAATGTGTAATAATGTTGGATTATTAACCATTAAGTGTTCGTGAACGTGCATGAGTGTGGGCGAGTAAAGCAAAACAGTGCATCGTGATTCTTCTGGTTTTTTCAAGTTGTCCATAGGTCTTTCAGTAAAGCACCACAATTTTACTGAGACTCAAAGGGTGGGAAGGGGTATCATCAATCATCCTTAATCATTATTATCATTATAAAAAAAAATAAAAACATTAAAATTGATCTCATTTTGTATAAAGTAAATACTTGAAAATGGCACAAATCAAGTCGACCTCGACGTGTATTGCCAACATCATCAAAAAAGAAAAAGAAGAAATAAAGTGACGGAAAGTGACAAATCGCCACATTCGTTCATTTCAAAATGTCATTCTTTTCTTGACATTTCGTATTTTCATTCGTTCGCGATCGCGAACTCGTATAATTTGTGCGGTCGATTTCAACGATTGAGAAAATGTTTTTGTGGTTGTAAAAACCTCGAAGAATGTAAAAATACAAATAAAAAATAAATACTGAAAACTGGAGAAATTAAAGTTAGGGATGGACTTGTGCAAGCGTTACTAGAAGCGGACAAAAATCCTACATTATGACGGTAAGTTTGGTGGACACCTACTGTTGTTATCGTATTTTGTAACATTTATATTAGTTATCTCGTTGCCTACATCCTTTCAATGATATTTTCATAGATCACTCGTTGTATTTGATCCTATAAAGCGCGTACGTTTTGTATCAAAATGAAAATAAATTGATTATGTTGTGTTGGTGAGACCAAGTGTTTATTTTGTAATAGAAGTGGTTTTAACGCGAATATCAGCAATTTTCCCTTGCATAATTAGGTAAATTATTATTACTTAACTGTTTAATCACTGTTTTTATCCTATTTATATTTGACAAAATATTGATCACCAGCTTACATTTAGTTTCAATATAATTTACTTTTTATTGGGTTTGATTTTATCTTTTGTTTTTTATTTAATTATTATAACAATAAAGGGGATCTATAACATCAAAATACACTTGACCTTATAGTGAAGATAAAATGTTAATACCTACTACTGTACGGATAAAAAAGAAAGAACTGCCTAAGGTGGGAATTGAACCTATGACCTTTTACTTGCCGAGCTATTCAAGGAATGTTTAAAAGCAAACAAACTGCTAATATGAAGGATTTTAGAGGACCAAAGGAAAGGATTTCACAGATTTAAGCAAAACCAAAACAGCATGACGCTATTCTAAAAGCTAACAATTATTGTCCTCCCATATACCTCTTTAGTGAAATAAAAATAGAAAAACAAGTTTGGTATGTAAAGAAGAAATCTGTAACAGATACTTAAAATTATACCCCCTTACTAATAAAAAGTTACACAGTTGTTGAACACTATTTTAAAATGACATTTCCATACTAAACGTAACTTTAAAACACTGTTCAACAAGCGTGTAAGTTTTATTAGTGAGGGGGTTAGTATTTAGAGTATTGTGTTGTGAAAAAATAATTTAATTTTGTCTTATTTGTATTACCCAAAGCTTCCAAAACTATTGTATGTCTGGTTAAAATTTCACCTGCTGGAGCTTACGTTTTAACCTGTTTTTTTACTGTATAAATTTAGATTGTCAAAGAGGGCAAATTTTGCAGACTTATTCTATTTATGCCTATCACAGATTATTGTGTCGTATAAAGTGATAATCGTTTGGCCACATTTTGACCAGAATGGCCAATAAGGAATATGCATCTGTAAGTTCATAAATAAACACATTAGTCAAATTATATAATTGCTGTAAAATAAGTTTTAAAACAGGAAAGGAGACGATAAAGATATTTAATGAAGAAATTATGTTTTTCACATGACACACACTATCTAACTTTATGGAACGTGTTCTAATTAGAACACACATATTTTTTAAATGTTTGTTAAAGAAATACGTATGATTTGAAAATGCCAAGGCTACTGAAATGTGAAATAAAATAAAAAATATCCCTGGACATTTTATACTACGCTTCTAGTTTCAAACTAAGCAAAGCTAGTACTATGGGTACTAGACAACGGATATAAACATACTTAAATACTTTTTTTTGTAAATACATACATAATTATACATAGAAATCTTTGCATATATTCCTATGGACCTGTTTACCAGTTGACGAAAAGCCAACTACCCTGTATTTTCCATCATACTATGTGTAGGCGTCTAGGCGTGGTTATCGGAATACGTTATCGAAGTTTCCAGCCAATTTCTACACTAATTGGTCACAGTGATACAATTTTATGGTAATTTTTTAACAGTTTTAATTGTTCAAACGGGCATTCGATCTTAGTTTCTGGCAAAAAATTATGTGAAAATAATAATAAAAATAACGACTGGTTTTGAATTTTCAGTTTTATTGTTTGTCATTTAATTGTTTTTTTTATTGTGCGTTCAGTATTATGTTTAGTGCTTAGTGGTTAGTTCTGTTCAGGAAAATAATTAAAAAACAAAACAATCATGCAAACTGTATGTATAATTTTTGTAACTTAACAGATAATAAATTGAACACTATTTTTTATTGTTTCAAGATCGATTTTACAAATAATTCAAAGAAAGTTTCATAATCGTAATTTTTAGCAATAAAGGTCCATTTAGCATTTATCTAGGTATAATATTTTTTTTACAATGTCGGTTACTTTGGTTCTCCTACGGATCTCCTCATTTCTGATTCGATCACGCAGGGAAACTCCGAGCATAGCCCGCTCCATCGCCCTTTGGGTGACCTTGAGCCTTCTTATGAGGCCCATAGTAAGCGACCACGTTTCGGATCCATATGTCAACACTGGCAACACACACTGCTCGAAGACTTTCGTCTTGAGACACTGCGGTATTTCGGACATGAGTATATGGCGAAGCTTCCCGAACGCTGCCCATCCGAGTTGGATTCGACGATTGACCTCTTTCTCGAAGTTGGACCTACCTAACTGGACTGTTTGTCCCAGGTATACATAATTGTCGACAACTTCGAGTGTAGAGTCTCCAACCTTCAGAGGAGTGGGTGCAACACGGACATTAGACATGATTTTTGTCTTGTCCATGTTCATTCTGAGGCCCACTTGTTGAGAGGCTCTACTGAGGCCATCGAGCATTGTGCCTAGATCCTCCAAGGTCTCAGCCATGACTACGATATCGTCCGCGAATCGAAGGTGGGTGATGTACTCGCCGTTGATATTTATGCCAAATCCGTTCCAGTCCAGAAGCTTGAAGACATCTTCCAGGGCGGTGGTAAACAGTTTTGGAGATATGACGTCTCCCTGTCTTACCCCTCGCTGCAACTGGATAGGTTTCGAATCCCGATCCTGGAGGCGGACCGACATTGTGGCGTTTTTGTACAAATCCCTCAACACTTCGATATATCGATAGTCAATTATTATAATATTTTTACAATATTCAAGGAATTTAACAGTGTCTACCTATTTTCTTCTTATCAAGTAGAGAGCCTTTTACTTTTTAACTAGGTAATAAATTAAGTTTGCAATAAAAATAATTGAAATACCACCTGTGTAATGCCCATAAATCAATAATATTCTATAAACACAACAAGGTGACAGTGTCATTGCACATTATTTAAAAATATGTTTATTTTATTATTACGTCAATAAATACCTTATTGTTTACAACTTAACAATTAATGTTTGTCTGCCTCATAGTCATAATGCACACAATATTATAAACTTTGTCAAATAAACACTATTATTCATAAAAATGACTTGACTATCAATTAATTCTTATGCAGATGCAATTCTTTTTATTACCTACTATTAATAAAGTTTTAAATAACTAAACTAATTATTAACAGTCTTACTGTACCTAACACTTATTCGTACTTTAAAACAATTTACTCCATCTTTTATTACTGTCTAAAACTTATGAAACCATGTTACAAACTTGTTACAAATAAATAAACTAACTAATAAAATATGTAATTATGTTCGAAAATAACTCAAACTAGAACATTTTTCTAAACAGAAACTTTCTGAACACACTTCTAACACTGTGTTAGGAATTTCACCCAGCACGTAAAAAACAAACAGCACGATATTTGTAAACAAACAAACTTAGTGTTCATGTGTAAACACCAGTCATTCCTTCTGTCTGTGCGCACTATTTGGTCATATTGTTGCATAGATGAGTGATAGACTGTCCGCACACAAGTGATGTTCAAGATGCGTTATACATCTTTAGTGAGTTATAGTGTGTTCTCGTCTCGTAACTTTTTATTTATTTAACTGTATGCGAATTTATTGTAACTTTATGAAAAGTTGCAATTAATTCGCATTAAGTTACCTCTTGTAAATAATATTATAATTTTATAATGTACCTACTAACCTATTAGATATTTAGTTTATATTCAGTTTATGATATGCTCGCGTATGTAACACATTACTTCATCAGTTCTACTTCTACTATCAAATTAACTTCTATTTATAACTTATAAATAAATCTTAACAACTCTATAAATACTTTAGAATATTGCTACATTAATATTACTGTCCCATAATAAAATAAATAATACATTTAACTTTAAAACCTAACCATAACTTTGAATGATGACCTATTCCTAGTTCTATCTGATGATGACGATTGTAAGTCTCACACAGTCGATAACACAACAAAATTTTCGTTGTAAAATAGCATCTGTTACAACTAAGTAAATAGAGGTTACAGTGTACAGCTTGATGTGCTATAGTTTGTTCTCATACAAACCTAAAGCTGTTTAAATATTTTGTGGCACACGAATTGGGTCGACAATAAAAGCAATTTACGTAATAGGTCCATACGTAGGTACACCTACGTCTGTTTGATTAAAGTACAGAGTTTCGTATGAAATAAGTACACGTTTGATCCTTTTAATATTGCTTTCAACTAGTATTATGAAAAAAAAATCTATCGTATCGGTCTTTGCAGAAGAAAAGTTTTCTTATCTTAATGAGACCTGCAATACACTTAACATTCTTAAAATGGTCCGACTAATCTTCCTTTTGCAATCGGCGCGTTGAAAACTAAAAATTTGACTAAATAAAACAGACCCAAAACGAAGAATTATCAATCATGATTCCATTTAACCCAATAATTACACATAATTAGCGTTTTATTTGTTATCACTGGAATACGTTTTCATTCATACCAGACGAGTCACAAATGTCTGTGGTTGCGTACGTATTCGTCACACTCGCGGCATAGCTCGCGTTCACCCATAACGAGAACACACTTTTAACGCGCTGTGAAAGATGACTAAAAATTATTTTTGTCCAACCTTGTCTGCTATGTGCCCCACTGTGCAGGCCGAACCGCGGGTGATGGGTCGCCGATTTGTGCTAACTTTGGTGATTGGGATCTCAGCCGGATTTAGTTTCGCATACATACTATTAACTTCCACTGGATATCCAAAAGAAGTGGTCTTTTCTACGTACAGGTAATTAATATTTCTAATTGCATGTGCATGTGCATTTTTAATGTTGCATGAGATTGTTGTATGCTAATCTTATCTTAAAAGCTAATTTTGTGTCGCATTTACTTTTATTTTATTATCGTTTATGCTAAGCTTTTGTTTAATGAAAAGTTTATCTTAGGCAATTACACAAATATTTATACGGAAATATTTGTGACTAATTTGTATTTATGACTAAATCAGTATTGTAATTCTGTGAAATAACTAGTAATGTTGTATTTTGGCGCGTATACAGTTTATTGTACAGAGATGTATTTTAGAAGCGTTCGATTTCCTTAACGCATACTTTACAGCCAAAACACCTATCTATAAAATTACCTAGTAGAGATCGATGTCTGTTTATGGAGATTAATTAGGTATGTCAAATAATATGTAAGTACCTGAGAGTCTCTCTTTCTGTTTATGATAATAAATCGTGTTCGAGTGGTTTGAAAATAAAAAATAGATTACTAAATAATGACGAAAACTAAACGAGTTAAGAGTTCTCTTAGCGTATTATAAAATAAAATTAGGAAAAAAACCTGAAAATCTTTTGTATGTAAATAACATATTATGCAAAAAAACTTAACGCAAACTTTCTTAAAGTAACGTAACTAAAGACCAACAAACAACCAACTTAAAGTTGCTACGGCGTTACAAGCAATAAATTATTTTAAAAGTATAATGGTTTACAAAGCATAATTATAGAAAAGGATGATACATAAGGTAATGATCGCCCGTCCCTAGAAGACTTTAATTATTAGTTGTAAAAACAGTTTTTAGCGGTTTTGAGTTAATTGCGAAGTTTAGATTTAAACTATTTTATGCTATCAAATGTTTGCCTACTAATTAATACATAATTACGTACAAGTATACAAAAATTGGTATATCCACGAGGCCAGGGTTATAATTTCATTCGTCGCGCTGATTACCGTAATGATTATCAACAAATTAGTTACACACATTAAATTAAAGTGGCAATTTCGTTAAACCATAATTACTACATGTGTAATTTATTATTTTAATGAAAATAAATACATTTGCGAGTGGTGCCATTCGTGCTTCGCGCCAATTGCGATTTCTGTGTCATCAAGTCCTTATCGTTCATTTCAGTTAGCTCATTTATAACTGAGAGGGATAGACATATCCTATAAATACAGTAATACAATATATCCTATAAATACAGTTCTAGGGAATGATTCAGTTTGACAGAAAAATACTACATAAACATATTACATATCAAATAGATAGGTACAGATGCATATTTAAACGACTGTGTCTCTGGATAATGATAAGATATTTGCCCCCTTAAGAATTCGAACCTACAACCACGGCTGGCTTAAGTCAGTTTCACGAACCACGAGACCAGACACTAATATAAGTAACTACGTATGATTTATTTATTTAATCTGTTATTAATGTTGTACTAAATTACTGTACAATGGCGGACTTAACCCTCGCTGTACGAGGTGGGGTGTGACACACCCCAGTCCTTTAAAATTCGCCATAATTTTAAAAATTTGCAAGTACTGAATTTGAAATTCTCAGTAGCTGGAATTATGGCGCTGCTGCTTCGATCAGCGTTGCAAAATCAGTCCAGCGGTGAATACCAACTGAGTTACATGCCTTTAAAGTGCGTGTGGGTGTCACACACCCCACCTGGTACGGGACGTTGTTAAAAAAGTTGAAAAATAATATAACAGTTTTGGTATAATTTATATATTTTTAGCTTTGTTAATTGAATAAAATTCAATACAATTCATATTTTTCGTGATTTTCACGGAATCTGAAAATTTCAAGCACTTTTAGTCAAATGAGATGACTTTTAGTGCGAATCTCGAAGTTTAGTACTGAGATCCGAAGATGTATGTGAACATACACTTATGGGCTACAATTTATACTTGGTGATACAATTTATGGGTTACCGAAATGAAATAGCATATTTTATAAATAAATAAAATTGTTACACTCCCATTTTATGTATTGAGCATACTCATTTTCTTTCATCAGAATTATTGTAGTAAATTGAAAACCTATAATCAAAATAAATTTATACCCTTCCAGTTCTTAATTAACTTTTAAATTATAAGTAAATATCTTGTACTTTGTTAAATAAAACGGTTGTCATAATTAAAGGCACTAATTAAAAATTATACATAAGAAACTGATTCGTCAATTACAAGAACAACGGAAATTGTGTCTTTTTGTTATTTTATGATAAAAATGTTATAATACACATTTTCAGCTCAGAGCTTTTCTTACATCTAATTAGCATACGTAAATAATCAATATTAAATATAAAATTCCACCTAAAGAAATGTTCAATAAATTTTTTATCACTTTGTATATTGGGGTATGTCATACCCCACCTGGTACGGGACGTAACTTTTAGTCACCTCGTACACGGAGGGTTAATGCCGGGTGGCATTCTTTACCAATCAACCACAGGTCAAGCTAAGAGAAAAAAAACGACTCATTTGTTCCGAGTTCCGACCCTTTGCACTTATTAAAACGGTAACGTCCAAAACTACATTTTAATTTTAACTCAAGTCAGATTAGTTTCAGTTTTAGAAATCACAAAAAAATAGAGGCATTGAGTGTAACATGAGATTTTAAATTTAGGTAGGGCAGGTAGGTAACTGTTATCAGATGTAAAAATTAGTTGCACTTTATTGCAATTTCTTTTTCTGCTGTAAAACTAATCGTAATTTAATTAAAGTAAGTATTAATTTACCATATAAAATTTTTTCATTGAGTTTGAAAATACTACTTTGTAAATGTATTGTGAAATTAAAACGAAATTTTATAGATTCGACCTTCATATAAAATGCCAGAAGAACACTCACTGCTTACTTAGAAACACTCGTAAAGATATTTACAGGGTAGGTATAATTTTACACTAATATTATAAATGCGAAAGTTGGGATGTCTGGATCTTTGTTACTCTTTCACGCAAAAACTACTGAACGGATTTTGATGAAACTTTACAGTATTATTGTTAATAACCCAGAATAACATATAGGCTATAATTTATGACGATCTGTGATAAAATAAATTTTACGCTTCTTTTATGTAAAGCTAGTTTTACATAAAAGAGTATTGTAACAAATTATGACTTTTTCTAACGTAGCAATCAAAAATTTAAATTCTAGACGCACTTGAAAACCGTTATTTTGGTGTTGCTGTGTAGCATTGTCAAGTAGAACACCAGTAGATAACGTACGCTAATTTAACGAACAATTTCACAATTTTCACCTATGCGACAAAAGATCCCATAAACTTTATAAACGTGCAGTCAACAGTGCATTTTTATTGCAAAATAGCCTTTAATACAACTACATAGATGCCACAGATGTGCTGTCAACTGTTCATTTTAACTTTATTGAAATACTAAATTATTGTTGTTGTTACAAATAAGTTTTATTAGATAACTACATTTTGCTTTCCAATTTTATTCAATGATATAATGGTTCGAGGTTCTCTATACTTCGCCTTATATTTTTAATCACAATACAAAATGTGATGAATTATTAAAATAAGTATTTACTTATTGAACCGTATGTTTTTGTGCCCATTTAAAAATTGCTTAGATGTTATTATTTTGCATGAAAATAATTTCTGGTGTAATAGGTAACTCAAGTTATCTTGTGAAGCAGTGTTAGTATACAGTTTTGTTTGTATCCTGCAAATAACATAATAATATTGTTTTTTTATTTTATAAGTAGGCATTAGGTACGTACGGGTGTGTACGGTTCCTCTGACTACATTTTTTTTACAATTTATGTTGTACATAATAATAAAAGGTTTGTATTTTATGCTTTGGTGGACCATGAGATGATAATGTTATCTTAACAGCCTACGAATGCAATGACAACACTGACTGGGGAAACCTAAACTTTAAATGATAACAGCTTTCCAGAGCTTATCGAATTAGTAACTGTCGGGTTATCACTAACTGATAAACAATGTTGGAGTTCACTACAAACCGATCGAGCTAACTGCTCACCTCGTTGGAATGCCACTCTCCCGAATACCTCCCAGCGTTCTTTTAGGCGCGATTGGTCCAATTCGCGATTGGGCCAATGGGGATGTTGCCTGGGTCAAAAAGCAAGAGTTTTAATTAGTCCGTCAGTTAACTTATCAAAAAATACTCAACACGTATTTTTCACTTTTTCAAACTAATGAAAATTTAAAGAGATAAAGCGCCCCAAAGTTCATAACAAGAGGCCCGTGACGTCAACACTTGCTTAAAAATGCCGCACGTTGTGACGTCGTTCGCAACTTCAACGCACCATAACTATGTAATTATTTGTTAGATTGACAAATAAAAATATATGTGTCCAATATTTTTTGATATTAAACATTACGGACTAAAAAAATTTTTTTAGGCAACTAGCCTATTCGCTATTAGTCCAATTCGTAATTCGACCAATTTGCTTTTTTCTGCAATAGTAGTAAACGTTGAATAAGCTCTTTATTTTTTTCATTTTGGATATCCTTTTATTTTGGATCAATTACGAATTGGACAAATAGCGAAATGGACCAATCGTGAATTGGACCAATCGCGAATTGGACTAATCGCGAATTTTTAAATTTTTACGTTTAGACCAATTGCGAATTGGACCAATCGCGTCTAAACGCCCGCGTTTGCCCGGTCTGTTCCAGAGCGTCGATGTGACGTCATGGCTCCCAGGTGCGCAGTTAACTCGACCGGCTTGTAATTGTATGCTTGCAGACAGTATTCAAGTGTTCTAGTGCATTCCAATTGTTTAATTTAGCCTAGATCTAGCCTAAATTGGTATACTAGACATCAATTTAAACTTGATCGATATGCTAGTTGTGAGCTATGAAGTAGTGTTTGACCTACAACCAATTTATCTGAACCTATATTTTGGCTATTAATTTGGTAGAATATTTGAATGTGAACGAAGATTTTTTTTTGTGCAAATTGTTTTAATTTTATTGCACATTTCGTTGTTTTCTTGTGCTTTTTCTCGAGCCACTGACGGCTTTAGTTAGGCTGGGTTGCACCATCTTACTTTAACGTTGACAAACGTCCAAAATCTGTCAAACTGCATACAAAAAGCACCGGTTATCGTTATAGTTACGGTCAAAGTGAGATGGTGCAACTCAGCCTTATTGATTTGCTCTAAAGTTGATGCGAATAAAGAAGTATGTAACGTTCATATTTAAAAAAATATGAGCTCAGGAATAAAACTACAAACAGCTTACCTCAATTTTTTTTAATCTAACAAGCAAAGGCATTCTTAAAATCCTATGTAATTTCCAGAGAGTCAGTTAGAGATCTAGAGAAGCATCCTATATCGTCAGTAGTTGACCATGGAACCGATGAGCCAGCGCATAGAGATGAAGATCGCACGGTGGCCGATGAGCTGGCCAAAAGAGTCAGGGTTCTGTGCTGGGTGATGACACAACCGAATAACCATCAGAAGAAAGCACAGCATGTCAAAGCCACGTGGGGGAAGCGATGCAATAAGCTGGTGTTTATGAGTACGGTTGAAGGTAAGATAGTTTTAAATAAATTTAATTATAGGCGTAGCCCATAATTGAGTAGATTCCTGTGGTAGAGCGGTGCGGGGCTAACATTATATCGATAAGCTACGTGTCTGAATCTAGGGCCTAGACAAAATGACATTTGTGACATTATTATTCGATATCGCGTTCGCTTCTCGTACCCGTTCTTATTTACGTTTTCTTTTATGCATGACATGGGAGGTATTTGACCGCAATCGCACCTGGTGTTAAGTGAGATGCAGTCTAGGATGGTACATATCTGCCCTGCAAGTGCATATTTACTCTTGCCTTGAAAAGGCCCAGATTATAGTGTTCAGGAAAGAGAGCAGAAAGAAGCTGGAACGTAGCGATTTCCGAGTTAAATCTGTCACATAACTGACCTTACCTAGGGGGCTGGATGCCCAATCTTATGAATAAACGTGCAGCTCACTTACTAAAGTGTTACCTTCCAGACAGTTCGCTGCCAACAGTGAAACTACCGGTTAACGAAGGGCGGGACTTCTTGTGGGCGAAGACGAAGGCAGCCTTCCGATATGTCTACGAGCATCATAAGAGGGACGCCGACTGGTTCCTCAAGGCTGACGATGACACGTAAGTTTCAACCTTGAGGTGAAGCAATAAGAGCGATCAATGTTAAGATGTTAAGGAGTGCTTCAAAGAGTTGTATCTTCCTTCTATTAAAACAGCGAAGTCCAGAGACCCCTAAATTGTGATGTCAGCCCTCATTACGGCTAGGGCACCTGTATACTAAAAGGTTGAGGTAATCCCATGAGAAAATTTCCTAGGCTGGATGGGGTACATAACTCGTAGATCTAATAGCCTTTGGAGCAGAACAGAGGGCTGAGTGTGAGTTTTTTTCAAACGCGCTCACTAGGAGCGGCGCGCTCCTGGAGCGCGTCAAAAAATGACATTAAATGTATGACGGAATGTAAAGCGCCCCTAGCGGGAAACTTTCAAAAACTAAAATTTTCATACATTTTTTAAACGGTGAGCGCTTTTGATGTAAACTCACTCAGCCCACTCGAGTGGCAACCCAGCCGGAAGACGTAGTGTGGTTAGACCTCCACGACGATAGGACTGACCTATCGTCGTGGAAATCCTTGGGGGAGGCCTCTGTCCAGCAGTGGACGTCATTTGTATAAAAATAACGAACGAGATATCGTTGATGTGCGAAATATTTGTAGCGTTGAGCAGTAAATGACCTCAGGAAGTAGTATAATTACTTCCTGGAACACCCGTATTTTTGAATTCCCGGTTGTTTAATTTATCTTTGCTGTATGCCGGTAATAAACAATTGAAGTAAAAGCGGACAAGGTCGTAGTTAACATCTCTAAAATGATGAATAACATTCGATAGATTCAGAATTAGTTATCTATCTTTAGGATTTGCCATCTGTCAGCGGTGTGATTCACGTTCTTTGCTCGTGCCCGCACGGCTAGATCGAATCTTTACAAAATTTATAGACACCTACACGATGTTGTTTATAACGTGCTGTTTATTTTACAAGTAATAGGGTGATTGCTACAGTTATTGGCCCTTTAAGAGCGTTGTGTAAGTTAACTTGTGTAAAATGTAACAAAAACTCGACTTTTGTTTACTTTTTATATTTTATTATGAGAAAACAATATTGCTGCTATTTAAGCTAGTACCTATTTGGTGTTATACGATAAGAATTACAATAACAATTTTAAAAATATCAGAGATCACATTAAATTTAGCTATTGGCCCCAAAAACACAGTAATTGGCTCCTAGAAGTGCAGTTATTAGCCACCGAAAAAAACCCATAAAAATCACTGAAACTTCACACTTTGTAATCCTAACTCANCTGGGACTGCGGTCCCAGTTAATTGCGGTCCCAGTAGCCGGAAGCCTCATCAATTTAAACTTGATCGATATGCTAGTTGTGAGCTATGAAGTAGTGTTTGACCTAGAACCAATTTATCTGAACCTGTATTTTGGCTATTAATTTGGTAGAATATTTGAATGTGAACGAAGAGTTTTTTTTTGTGCAAATTGTTTTAATTTTATTGCACATTTCGTTGTTTTCTTGTGCTTTTTCTCCAGCCACTGACGGCTTTAGATACCTTAAGCTGGGTTGCACCTTTTCTCTTGTCTTACTTTAACGTTGACAAACGTCCAAAATCTGTCAAACTCCATACAAAAAGCACCGGTTATCGTTATAGTTACTACGGTCAAAGTAAGATGGTGCAACTCAGCCTTATTGATTTGCTCTAAAGTTGATGCGAATAAAGAAGTATGTAACGTTCATATTTAAAAAAATATGAGCTCAGGAATAAAACTACAAACAGCTTACCTCAATTTTTTTTAATCTAACAAGCAAAGGCATTCAAAATTAAAATCCTATGTAATTTCCAGAGAGTCAGTTAGAGATCTAGAGAAGCATCCTATATCGTCAGTAGTTGACCATGGAACCGATGAGCCAGCGCACAGAGATGAAGACCGCACGGTGGCCGATGAGCTGGCCAAAAGAGTCAGGGTTCTGTGCTGGGTGATGACACAACCGAATAACCATCAGAAGAAAGCACAGCATGTCAAAGCCACGTGGGGGAAGCGATGCAATAAGCTGGTGTTTATGAGTACGGTTGAAGGTAAGATAGTTTTAAATAAATTTAATTATAGGCGTAGCCCATAATTGATTAGATTCCTGTGGTAGAGCGGTGCGGGGCTAACATTATATCGATAAGCTACGTGTCTGAATCTAGGGCCTAGTCAAAATGACATTTGTGACATTATTATTCGATATCGCGTTCGCTTCTCGTACCCGTTCTTATTTACGTTTTCTTTTATGCATGACATGGGAGGTATTTGACAGCAATCGCACCTGGTGTTAAGTGAGATGCAGTCTAGGATGGTACATATCTGCCCTGTAAGTGCATATTTACTCTTGCCTTGAAAAGGCCCAGATTATAGTGTTCAGGAAAGAGAGCAGAAAGAAGCTGGAACGTAGCGATTTCCGAGTTAAATCTGTCACATAACTGACCTTACCTAGGGGGCTGGATGCCCAATCTTATGAATAAACGTGCAGCTCACTAACTAAAGTGTTAACTTCCAGACAGTTCGCTGCCAACAGTGAAGCTGCCGGTTAACGAAGGGCGGGACTTCTTGTGGGCGAAGACGAAGGCAGCCTTCCGATACGTCTACGAGCATCATAAGAGGGACGCCGACTGGTTCCTCAAGGCTGACGATGACACGTAAGTTTCAACCTTGAGGTGAAGCAATAAGAACGAGAAATGTTTAAAGGAACCAAGGATACTGTGCTCCAAAGAGTTGTATCTTCCTTCTATTAAAACAGTGAAGTCCAGTTACAACTCTAATTGTGATGTCAGCCCTCATTACGTCTAACGGCCGTTTCACACATGTCTCCGTTTTACTGTTCCGTTTTATCGTGTACCTTTTTTTCGTCGATGGCGTATGTAGTTGTATGAGCGACTTCACACATGACACAGTATTCTGTATACAGTAATACATCGACGAAAAAAAAACGTACAAGCGGTACAAGATAAAACGGAGACATGTGTGAACCGGCCGTAAGGCAACCGCTGGTACCTGTTATGTATCCTAAAAGGTTTATTATTGGAGGTATATCACAAATAATCCCATGAAAAATTTCCTGGGTTGGACGGGACACATAGCTCGTAGAGCTAATAGCTTGGGGTAGAAGTTCTCAAGTGGCGACCACGGGTCAGATGACGTAGTGTGGGCAGACATCCCCCTAAATAGATCGACGATCTGGTGAAGGTCGCGGGAAGTACCTGAATGCGGGCAGCGCAGGACCGGTCATTGTGGAAATCCTTGGGGGAGGCCTTTGTCCAGCAGTGGATGTCATTTGAATAAAAATAACGAACGAGATATAGTAGAAATAGTTCGTTTGTGGAATTGCATGTGCTGATGTACGCAATATTTATAGCGTTTAGTGGTAAATGAGCTTCCTGGGATATTTTTGAATTCCCGGTTGTTTAATTTATCTTTGCTGTGTGCCAGGAATATTTTTACTGTAAATAATAGCGGACAAGGTCGTAGTTAACATTTCCGCTAAAATGATGGATACCATTCGATAGATTCAGAATTAGTTATCTGGGGGCACGGCAGTGCCCCCGCCAAGTCGAGCGCGAAGCAAACACTGCCGTACCATCCTTTACTGGAACCACTTCGCCGCATTTTCAGGCCTCTATTTGAGAACCTCTGGATAAGACCAGAACGCAGAAATTTTTGTCATCTAGTAAGCTATAATCACATACCTGAAATCCAAAATTTCAAGTCTGTAGGTCATTTAGTTCCGAAGTTAAGCGAAAGCAAAGTTTCGCATTTACGACACTCACTCACTGATGATCATCAAAATAGAACTAGTACTTCCCATTAACTCAGAGAGCTGAAATTTGGTACAGAGTTCGGGTTTAATGACTACATCAAGGGAAAACTATAAAAACTAGGAAAATCGAAGATCTGGAGTAACACCACATTCATAACAATACTACTAACGCCACACCGGCACCGTGGTGTTCGCCTGTACCGCTCACCGCTAGATGGCGTGGCATTTGTTATTAAAACAATTTCTGATTCGTTGTCCATTTGAAAGGTTAGTTAGTTTATTTGTGTTTAATATTGTAAAGAAAATGTCGATGATATTAAAAGAAAAGACGCCAACGTTAAATAATTATGCCACTTTCTACAAAAAGAAGTGAAATCCCACCAAAAACATTCTGTAAAAAACTAGCCAAGTCTCGACGGAGCTGCCTGTTTATCTCTAAAAAGTAATGAAATCTAGACAAAGTCGTGCCAAGTCTATGGTTCCTTACTGCGATTTCTTTATTATTATATTTAATGTTTGCTAAATAGTATTTACATATGAAATGCAGATAATGTAGTTTATAAACGGTCGTGAGGGGGAATTTCACGGTGAATCTGCTTGTATTGTTAGAAATGAAAACAAATTTAAATGCATAGATAAACCGTGAAGGCAATTTTCAAACAAATAAAATAAAAAGACAAGGATTCTAGCTGTTAAATAAGAATAACGTGTTAAACCGTGATCCTAGTATCAAACAAAAAACATTTACGATTATAATAAGAAGAGTAGAATAGCCTCTTATGCCCGTTTTCACCATCAATCCACAAATTTTTAAGTGACCCATATGATAACACATAACAAGAATTTTGTTTTTAAAGAGGTCACATAAAAATTAGGGATTGATGGTGAAAACGGGCATAAAGTCCGTAGTCTGCGACTAATTGTGTTTTTAACTCAATATATTTTTATTGTTCCAGGTATGTTATAATGGAGAACTTGAGATACATGCTGGCCGATTATGACACCAACGAGCCAATATACTTCGGGTGCCGATTCAAGCCGTATACCCCACAGGTTAGATATTTTTTACTACGGCCAGTGGATATTGGAAAACGAGGTTGAAAACTCGATTCAGTTTTAAGAATAGCTTATGTTCTATTATAAGTTCAAATATTAAAATTGTACCAATCAAAATTTAGCAATTCTATGTTAAAAGGCCCCCCCTCAGTTTAGAACATCACTAATTTAAATTAAATGTATCAACATAGTTTGACCTCAAGGTTTATAAAAGGGGGACACAATCGCAAAAAAGAGGAGTCTTCCAAAAAGTAGAGACCCTTTACGCGGTTAAAACCGCAGGTTCGTTTCAGCCAAATGACGTCCACTGCTGGACAAAGGCCTCTCCAAGGATTTTCATAACGACCTTTACTGCGCTGCCCGCATCCAGATAGGGTAAACCGACAGTCATTGGACGCTGCCAGTCATTGGACAAACAACCCTTAAATTTTCCTAAAATGAATATTCCTTCAAATACAATGAATATTCCTTAAAAAAAACGCCCTTTTATCTCCATCAGTCGGAATCTCTCAGTTGTTGAAATAGAAATGCTATTTTTAATTCAGTAAATAACTGTCCAATAACTTTCTTAAGTGTCCAATGACTGACAGTTTACCCTACAACCCGCGACCTTCGCCAGATCTTAGGTCCAACTATGTGCCCACGCTACGTTTTCCGGATCTCAGTCGCCACCCGAGAACTTTTCCACGGGTAAAAGTTAATAATATAATTCTAGGGCTATATGAGCGGCGGTGCTGGTTACGTGCTTAGCCGGGAGGCGCTGAATCGGTTCGTGAACAAAGCGCTGCCTTCGCCACACCTCTGCAAGGCGAGCGACGGAGGCGCAGAAGACGTTGAGATTGGTAAACACATTTGCTGTATTCCCACTAACCTACCCTATGTCCTTCTGATTAATTTCGTTGCGGGTCCAATGACAGTTTAACTTTCCCCCGGGACAAACTTGACTCTCACTGGTTGGGCTTTTAATGACGGTCAAGCTGTAGATCCTGGCTACACAGGAGTTGCAGCGGTGGAAACGAGAGGTGGGAATTGTTCCGTACCTAAAATAGAGGTTTTGCCAGTGGATAAGACGGGAAAATACTTCAATAAGACTATTGGTAATTTATTTCTGTTTCAGACAGGTTGATTTAAGCCTGAGTGCTACGTCATAACATAACTAAAGCTGTACCAAATATGTGTAATATGTATCACTTATGTATTTTTACAGTACGCTGTGTAGAATACACGTCGGGACTGTACAATAAAATAAATAATCTATACAGCATGTAAAAAAACAAATACAACAGGTTTTTGTATGGCAATTACAGGCAAATGCCTAGACAAGGTGGGCGTGAAAGCGATGGACTCCCGGGACTCGCTGCACCGCGGCCGGTTTTTCCCGTTCGTGCCGCAGGACCATCTGTTCCCGAACAAAGACAAACGCTTCTGGTACTGGCAGTATATCTTTTACCCTTCTGATGAGGTAAGAACTCATTATTTATCTATACTAATGGCTACCTAAATAAACTTCGACAAATGTTACTTCGACATTACGTTGTTACTCCGACACTACTGAATATCGATATGACTTTACTTCGACACTACACTACGACAAAGGATATTTTTTGAGCTTCTTCTAAATATCTATATCTATATATATAAAAGAAAGTCGTGTTAGTTACTTCGCTTATAACTCAAGAACGGCTGAACCGATTTAGCTGAAAATTGTCAGGGAGGTAGTTTAGAGCCAGGAGAAGGACATAGGATACTTTTTATCCCGTTCGAAATTAAAAAAAAGTCTGCTTATTTATTGCCATTAAGGCGGAACAAAGTTCGCCGGGTCAGCTAGTTATACATAAATGCGAAAGTGACTTTGTCTGTCACATTTTCACGATTGAACTACTGAACCAATTTTGATGAATTATAGAATAGAGATAAATTAGACCTTCTCGAATTTATAGTAGCATCGATTCTTGGGTAGGATTTTTTGGACCTAAAGAAGTTTTAGTTCTATAATTTCTAACACCTAAAATTATTGTTCATTTGTGTTCACATAATCATTTCCTATTTGATTTGATTCTTCTTATCGAATAAACACTGAAGATTAATATGTTTTGATTTGCACAGATTATTTTCGCACTAAAAGACAATGCCGGAAATTGGCGTCTTTTTTTTTTCGCGCGGCCATCGGCCAAACCTTGTTTTTTGATTACAAAATAGTGTAATAAACCAAAAAAGTTTGGTCGATGGCCGCGCTAAAAAAAAGACGCCACCTTCCATACAAAATCTGGCATTGCCATTTTTTATAATATCCTGCAATTTAACCATAATAAATAAATAATGTAAATTGTAACACCAACCAACATGTAATACCTTTTTCCTTTTCACAGGGCCTAGACTGCTGTTCGGACCACGCAATATCCTTCCACTACGTAGGTCCTCAACAGATGTATGTATTAGATTACCTCGTATACCACTTAAGGCCGTACGGCATTCGCTTCGGCGGCGGCGACCTACCCCGTATACTAAGAAACGACACCAAAGATACAGAGGTTCACTAGAACGATAAGTGTACTAGGAAACAAATATGTAAATAAGTAGGCATTGAAAAACCTAAGGCCCGGTTTTTTGATTCATAGTTAAAATAACCAATGGTCAAATTTGACAGATGTCAAATGACAAGTGGTTAAATATCAGAGAAAAATGTTTTTCGAACAATGGTTAGCTTGACTTTTAGTACATTTTTTAACTATTTGTTTACATTTTGTTAATATTTAACCATTAGTAGCAAAATTTAACAATTAGTTATTTTAACTAAGAATCAAAAAACTGGGCCTTAGACAACCGTAGGTGCGCGGCTTAAACCGGTTTTTTTTCGGTTGAAGAACGAAATGAATATTGAATATTGGTTTCGATCGAAAAGAAATTTATGCAAAAACCGTTAAAGAACATAATGATAACGGTATTTTTCAAAACGGTTTCGAGCCTTGGCAACATATCATCAACATGACATATATTGTAAAAAAAATAAACATATTGTCGCAACATGGTCGACTATGGTTGCAGGTCGTACATAAACCGTACACACGTTGATCTTTTATAAAAGGTTGCCGAATAGGTCATTGAAATAAACTAGATAAGGTAGCTTTTTGTATGACGTCAATACAATGCCCAATCATTGTAGCTCGTTTCGGTTTTTATAATCCAGACGAGAAATTTAAAACTTATGAAACCTTGGCAAACTATTATTTATTTTTACTGTTGTCCAAGTACCAATTCTTGGCTTACGAGACATTAATACGGCCTAACTGATGTTCTCAACAGTCATTTAAAGTCGTTAAATAAATCAATGTTACTTATTTCGTACTGAGCATTTAAAATGTGCTTTTAGAGGCTTAAAGTAAGAATTTGAAGACGACGGCAGACAGCAAAAGCACGCTAACTTGTAATATCTGTATGCAAGCAAGTATGATCCAAATGACATGGGCATAAGGTGCATTCTTCGTCGGCTCGAAGTGACAGAATAACATGCAAGTTTTTGAGTCTAAGAGCGCTATCACATTAGGGCCTTAGTAGCGCGACTGCAGCGAGGCAGCGGCGTTTTTATAATGTGAAGGCATGCATCCGCTGTCACATAGGGGCCGTTCAAGTACCTATTACGTAAGCAGATTTCTTACCATTTTTTACGTATAATAATATTTTATGCGGACTACGACTCTCAAATTTCAATGGGCAATGTCGGCACGAGAGTTAATTATTAGACAAGTGAATAGCGCACGGTAATTTCCCTAATGTACGGTAATTCCCCTAATCAGTTCTCAAGGCGAGTGCCTACGCATATGTATTATTTGCGGGAATCCCCGAAAAAACGTAAATAACTAACGATGACGTAATCATCATCTAGACCCCCCTACTAGGGCATGAATATCGGAATCTCGGAATCTCGTAATATCGGAATCTCGGAAGACAAGATCCGATATTACAATTCCGATATTGAGCGACCCAATATCGTAATATCGGAATCAGATAAAGGTTTTAATTGAGACTTTAAACAAAGCGTTTAAAAGCGCCATAACCTGCTACAAAGCTCAAAGTACATGATTGGAAAAGACCAATGATTTTCTCATGTCTTTCAACATCACTTTTTGTCCCACTGCAAATAATTATTAACCATAACATGTTCTAAAACAATTTTAGCACTTGCCGTACTTGGTCTTAGCAATGAAAAACGACATCTCAACTCCCTTCTAATCATTAATAAAATTGGACTATGGTCCGTCAGTTCTGCGTACTATGTGCCCTGCCCANTTACCAAACCATGAAACGTACCTACCTATATTATTAAAAAGTTTCGCAGATAATAACTGAAATCCTCTTATAAGGTGATGAATTTTAATCTAGGAGGTTTTACATTATTAATGCCAACTAAGTTAAGTTTATTTTATGTATGTAACTTTGTAAAACCAGTTTTGCAGACCTAATAAAAAAAAAAAAAAAGGAGCATGTCATGAAACCTAAATTATTAGCATACAAGAGCTTGTTTTAAAAAAAATCTTTTTATTTATGATGGGGAATTTACTGCGGCGTAGTAGCAGAAATTTTCCGTTTGTAGATCGTAATAATTTCGAAGAATAGGGATGTTTCGTGGATAAAGCAAGAAAGTAGCAAGAGTTTGAATTAGTCCGTCGGTGAACTTACCAAAAACAAACTCTAAATGTATTTTTCACATTTTTAAACTTATGAAAATTTAAAGAGATGAAGCGCACCAAAGTTCAGAAGATGAGGCACATGACGTCAAGGCATGCTTAAAAGGCAAGGCATTCTTCATAAGTGACACAGAGAGAATGACAATAGACAAAAGCAGAAACATTTGCTTTTTTAGGCCATAGACAATACTAGGTACTAATGCGTTCCAATAGGGATGATGACTGGGTAATGAAATCGAAATTCTATTTAGTCCGTCAGACAGATAATTAGAAAATATTAGACTNAGCAATCACCCTAAATGTTTTATTTTGAATTTCCAGTAATTCTAACTTCGAAGAAAATGTTGTTATGGTTTATGTATGTTGAACAATACTGAAGGACATTTTTGCATTCCTTATTACCGATTGCTAAATAGTATTTACATATGAAATGCAGATAATGTAGTTTATAAACGGTCGTGAGGGGGAATTTCACGGTGAATCTGCTTGTATTGTTGGAAATGAAAACAAATTAAAATTCATAGATAAACCGTGAAGGCAATTTTCAAACAAATAAAATAAAAAGACAAGGATTCTAACTGTTAAATAAGAATAACGTGTTAAACCGTGATCCAAGTTTCCAACCAAAAAACATAGTTAAATAGCGATTATAATAAGACAGCAGAATAGCCTCTTAGCGTCCGGTCCCATAGACTACAGACTTTGTCGGCCGATAGTTTAGTCGGACAGTTAATTAGTATGGGCATGTATGGCGGTGCGCACATTACACCGATTTGGTATCGGCCGATTCCTCATACAAATTGAAAGCCGAACCAACCCAACTATCGACCGAATGTCTGTAGTCTTCGGTGTGCCTTAAGCTTAGGTAGTAACTAATAAATTGTGTTTTTAACTCAATAATATGTATTTTTATTGTTCCAGGTATGTTATAATGGAGAACTTGAGATACATGCTGGCCGACTATGACACCAACGAGCCAATATACTTCGGGTGCCGATTCAAGCCGTATACCCCACAGGTATGATACTTTCTACTTTACAATATGATTCTGGAAAACGAAGCTGGAAACTCGTACAATTTTAAGTTTAGATTATGTTCTTTTAAGTTTAAATATTAAAAGTGTACCAATCAAAATTTAGCAATTCTATGTTAAAAGACACTCACACTCTAGTTTGATTTCCAGAGGAAACAGGGTAGTTTTTATCCTGGTTGTTGAAAAGGGAGGAAAGTCATTAAGTGAGAGATCTAAAGGTGGACCACGTTTGCCAATGGGGAGTCTTTCTATGAGAAATCTAACAGCTCTTTCAAATTAGACTTTTTAAACCGGACGGTTGTCGTGTGTACGCAAGTCCGGTACTTGTCAGTTTTATTCAAACGCCATTATCATACAATTTTCCGTCTGCGGTCCTACAAACTGACGACAACCGTCCATCTCAATACGTCTAATTTGAAAGAGCCTTAAAACGGCAACAAAGTTACGGGTAAAAAGCTAGTAATATTTCCAGGGTTACATGAGCGGCGGCGCTGGTTACGTGCTTAGCCGGGAGGCGCTAAACCGGTTCGTGAACAAGGCGCTGCCTTCGCCACACCTCTGCAAGGCGAGCGACGGAGGCGCAGAAGACGTTGAAATTGGTAAACATATTTGCTGTATTCCCACTAACCTACCCTATGTCCTTCTGATTAATTTCGTTGCGGGTCCAATGACAGTTTAACTTTCTCCCGGGACAAACTTGACTCTCACTGGTTGGGCTTTTAATGACGGTCAAGCTGTAGATCCTGGCTACACAGGAGTTGCAGCGGTGGAAACGAGAGGTGGGAATTGTTCCGTACCTAAAATAGAGGTTTTGCCAGTGGATAAGACGGGAAAATACTTCAATAAGACTATTGGTAATTTATTTCTGTTTCAGACAGGTTGATTTAAGCCTGCTACGTCATAACATAACTAAAGCTGTACCAAATATGTGTAATATGTATCACTTATGTATTTTTACAGTACGCTGTGTAGAATACACGTCGGGACTGTACAATAAAATAAATAATCTATACAGCATGTAAAAAAACAAATACAACAGGTTTTTGTATGGCATTTACAGGCAAATGCCTAGACAAGGTGGGCGTGAAAGCGATGGATTCCCGGGACTCGCTGCACCGCGGCCGGTTTTTCCCGTTCGTCCCGCAGGACCATCTGTTCCCGAACAAAGACAAACGCTTCTGGTACTGGCAGTATATCTTCTACCCTTCTGATGAGGTAAGAATTCATTATAATTATTATGCCATCGACTGTCGCCTTTACTAAACTTTCTGCATCAACCAAAGTTTGACTGCTTTAAGCACGTTTAGTACGTTATTTCGTGTTATGCTAGGAGTTTCCATGCGTGATCGAATCAGAAATGAGGAGATCCCTAGGAGAACCAAAGTGACTGACATAGCCCGCAGAATCGCTAAAATCAAGTGGCAGTGGGCGGGGCATATAGCTCGTAGAGCTGATGGCGGCTGGGGCAGGAAAGTTCTTGAGTGGCGACCACGAGCCGGAAGACGTAGCGTGGGCAGGCCTCCCTCTAGGTGGACCGACGATCTCGTGAAGCTCGCGGGAGGTGCCTGGATGCAAGCGGCGCAGGACCGGTCTTTGTGGAAATCCTTGGGGGAGGCCTTTGTCCAGCAGTGGACGCTTTTCGGCTGAACGAAAATCTTCATAACCTGTTTATAATAATGTTGCCTATTATAAACAATCGTTTGTAACAACCAACCAACATTTGTAATGCTTTTTTCCTTTTCACAGGGCCTAGACTGCTGTTCGGACCACGCAATATCCTTCCACTACGTAGGTCCACAACAGATGTATGTATTAGACTACCTCGTATACCACTTAAGGCCGTACGGCATTCGCTTCGGCGGCGGCGACCTACCCCGTATACTAAGAAACGACACCAAAGATACAGAGGTTCACTAGAACGATAAGTGTAGGTAACAAATATGTAAATAAGTAGGCATTGAAAAACCTTAAGAGACGTAGGTGCGCGGCTAAACCGGCGTAAACCGGTTTTTTTCGGTTAAAGAACGAAATGAATATTGAATATTTGTTTCGCTCGAAAAGAAATTTATGCAAAAACCGTTAAAGAACATAATGATAACGGTATTTTTCAAAACGGTTTCGAGCCTTGGCAACATATCAGCATTACGGCAACAGTCAAATAATTTAAAAAGCTAACCATATTGTGGCCCTATATTGTAAAAAAAATAAACATTGTCGCAACATGGTCGACTATGGTTGCAGGTCGTACATAAACCGTACACACGTTGATCCTTTAGTAAAGGTTGCCGAACAGGCCATTGAAATAAACTAGATAAGGTAGCTTTTTGTATGACGTCAATACAATGCCCCATCATCGTAGCTCTCGTTTCGGTTTTTATAATCCAGACGAGAAATCTAAAACTTATGAAACCTTGGCAAACTATTATTTATTTTTACTGTTGTCCAAGTACCAATTCTTGGCTTTACGAAACATTAATACGGCCTAACTGATGTTCTCAACAGTCATTTAAAGTCGTTAAATAAATCAATGTTACTTATTTCGTACTGAGCATTTAAAATGTGCTTTTAGAGGCTTAAAGTAAGAATTTGAAGACGACGGCAGACAGCAAAAGCACGCTAACTTGTAGTATCTGTATGCAAGCAATTATGATTCAAATGACATGGGTATAAGGTGCATTCTTCGTCGGCTCGAAGTGGCAGAATAACGTGCAAGTTTTTGAGTATAAGAGCGCTATCACATTAGGGCCTTAGTAGCGCGACTGCAGCGAGACAGCGGCGTTTTTATAATGTGAAGGCATGTATCCGCTGTCACATAGTATGAAATTTTCGGCAGCGCGTCTGTCGCGCGTTTGTCGCGCTGCTAAATCGTCTAAATGTGAAAGAGCTTTAAGGCTATGGGCGCACGGGTGACTTTGTTACAGTGACAGTGTATCTTTCTCTTTTACACTTTTATAAAGAGAAAAAGAGAGACAACGTAGTACTTTATCTATGGAGGGACATACTGTCACGATGACAATACGATGCATATTGCATTGGCTAATTACCTTACCTTACCTTACCATGCTTTTGTCGAATGCCATCGTCTTCAAACTTCTGACTTCTATTTTTTGTATATTACAAGGCGTTTTTATATTGTATAATATTATAACGTAACATAAGTAATAGAAGTGATTTGTCAGATTGGAAATCAATATGTATATTTTGGGAGATATTAGCCTACTTTAGTCGGGCAATAGCAAACGTGTCTGTAAATAATAAGTATAAAAAGATCTTACTGCTATGATCATCAATTTAGTTCATGATAATTTTGGTGTTTTTAGTCGAGAAAAGGCCTCGGTGAAATTTCTTTGGTTCTAACAATATTTTTTTGCAAATTATTGTGATTTTAACTGTAGTTCCTTTGTTTAGTCGTTGATGCGTATATTGTAGGTTCTCTTGCCATAATGTAGTTTAGTGTCATAGCATAATAGGGATAATAAATAGTGTTAAACATAGATAGATATACCATTAATAATGTCAGGGTCATTTTGAGCATTTATTTTGAATTATCAATTGCTTTTAATTAATTTCTATCACTTTATAGCCAACATATTTTTTAGTATGCAGTGATCTAACTTTGTGTCACAGAATGTTAAATATTAGGAATGAATAAAAAACACGAGATTCAGCAATATGTGAAGAAGTGTGTAAAAAGTTGGAAGATTCGATTTTTATATGCTTTTAGTCATTTCATTAGATATAATGTCACGTAACTAGTCGTTAAGATAATAATTATTAATTATTTCATCGCATTACCAAAGAATCATATTTTTAAGGTGTAAATTAAATGTATAAATATATTTATCAGAATATTATATTTATAAAAGAAGATTCTAAATATTAAAACCTTAACAAAATCATCAAGAAGCCCAGTGAAAAAATATAATTTCTTACCATAGAAGATTTAGTCAAAGAAAATAAGGTTTTCGTGATGCAACAATAATTAGATATAAGTAAGCAATATTCCAACTGGAGTCTATTAGTTTTTATCTAAAATTAAGCATATTTTGAAAATTTACTTTGTAGATCGATGGGCTTATTTCACTATTCCCCGTTGACAAACCCCGTCAACGAAATGAAATGAACTTTATTGTGAATGTGAATTTAGGTAAACAATAGCAGATACATGGCTTAATAATAGAAACGCTCCAAATTCTACCTTTTCAGTGAACAAAAAGTTCATTAATCCCCGTTATAATAGGATTTTATTTTGATTTTATAAGTTCCAATTGGCGTTAACGGGGAATAGTGAACAAAAAGTTCACTAATCCCCGTTGACGGGGATTGTCAATAGGAAATAGTGGAATAAGCCGATCGAGTTTTTTTTATGGATCTTTTAGTAACTTATGAATCTCGAGTATGCTAAGAAAGCATTTATTTATTTATTAGAAAAAATATTTATTTTACAAAACAGAATATATCAATAAGTGCACTTGGAAGTAGTATAATTCTCGGATATTGGCGAGAGCAGTATTTAATCACGCGAAGATCTAAATTAGCCTGCAGAATAACTTTCAGTTTCATAGACTTTTTGTACGTGTTCCTTATGAAAATCCGTTCAAATATGAGCCGTAACAGTTTGTATTTACTAAAGATATTGTAATGTGTAATTTATAAGATCATATCACGAAACCTGTGATGTTTTCAAATCTGTTATTTATTTTATTTGCTCAATTTATATTTTGTTTTAGTCGAATAAAAGATCATGATGAAAATTGTTTTATTTTTGTGTACTCAACCTTTTTAATATAATTTTATAATAGCGTAAAATACGCGCTATAACTATGCACAGTAGATATTCCATCAAAGATATTGGGAGAGCCATTCAAAGATCGCCTACTCGGGACACGGCTAAGGGCAATTTTATCGATATTAAAATAATAACATACACAAAGATATAATCAGTTACATGATTTTATTTCATTTTACAAAGTCAAATTACTAAGGTACAAAAATAAACTCACTGGTTAGTGATTAAACTAAACTACTAGTCCGTGACTAGGTGTGTGATGTAGGTATATTTATATTATAAACAGTGCCACGAAGTGCACAAAGGTACTTAATGAAATTCTTGTACGAAAAACTTTAGAAATATTTATAATTTTATAGTAGAAAGCTAGCCTACAAATTGTTAACATTGGTCCCCCTAATACCGGATGTAATGATAACATTATTACATACATTATCATAATCATATAGTCAGCGTCAAATATAGGCTGGTCTGTGAGCACGTAGAATTTTGTCCAATGACCCCTAGCTACCCATCCTTGTCGCTCGCGCGTAATTATGTTGCTATCGCGTTCGCACACTCACTGCGGGTGCCAGTCGCACAGTCGCGACAGCAATATAATTACGCGCGAGCGATAAGGATGGGTAGCTAGAGGTCATTGGACAACATTTTACGTGCTCACAGACCGGGCTTTAGTTCTTGACACCCATAGAGGCCAAAAAGTTGACAACACAACCTTATTCCAATGTAACAAAGACGTGTTGCGAACTTATTGGCCACTTTGGGTGTCACCAACTATTTGACGCTTACTGTACCTATAAAGTAAGCTATGGAATATCTGTACTAAATCGTGTCTATGTAAAATATACAATAACATACAAAATAACAATAACTAGCAAGCAAACACACAAATCTTTTTTGCTTTTATTGTCATGTTAATAATATGAAAAAATACAACAGTTCTGACAGTAACCCACACCTGTACAGTAAATATCGCGCAATATTCCTACATTATACAAACAAACAAAGAATATTGCGCAGAACGTATACATGGAAATAAAGTGAAAAGCTAATCAAAATACTCTAGAAAATATTTCACAGTGCAAAATTTATATTAACCCATTATAGACTGAGTTTTCTTAAAGTGTCAGATTTTTGTATTTATGAAATATGTTCATAATTATGGTCTACTTAATGCTATTCAAGCATTAAAAAAATGATTCGACCTGTAATCTAGAAAAAAAATGCTGGTACCATATGGTACCGCTAGCCGCTTACCGTGTCAGTCGGTTAAAATATAACTTTATCATAGACTTTATAAAAATAGGGTAAATTATATATTTTATTATTATTATTATATGCATTAATAAACAAGCAAATAACAGGAGTAACATTAAATGTAAAAAAAACTGTATATTGGGTCAGCAATATTAATTTTTATCTTTGAATATTCAAAATTTTGGAATGGAGCTTGGCATTGCACGCTGCACATAGCCCCACGTTACATTTTCTATACTCTAATATTGTTCGAGAGTTGCAATTATCTTGAGTTCGTTCTATAAATATCTGCATCGTCTTGGGACCTTCATCGTCCTCCAAAACTGCCAATGTTTCATGTAAGTTACATCTAAAATAAATAAAAACTCATGGTTTTGTAAAGTATAGGAAACTATTTTACTTTATCTTCCTGTATACCTTATATACCATTGAATATATCACATACTTCCCAATAAATACAGTAAAAACTAAAAATCATAAAATTATTAAAAAGACACGGTAAGCGGCTAGCGGTACCGTACGGTACCAGTAATTTTGACATACAATATTTCCCATTAATAATACCTATCGACGTAATTTTACACCATTTCACAATAAGAGCACTTATGGAGAATACAAGATTGTAACAAAATCAGTATTTCACTATCACACAAAAAAAATATGATCACTTACTTCAATGGCGCGTCAATTTTTAAGAGAAAATTTTGATGCGCTCACTTCAATCATCAATTACACACAACTGAAAAGAATAACTGTCAATTTTTATTCCTGGTAGCATAGACCATATCTATTGGCTACGACTTGCATCAATCAGAGCACTGCATCTTTTCACGTGTTAATGTATAGAGCCAAATTAAAACACACAAAAAAGTGGTACCATATGGGACCGCTAGTCTATAATGGGNTTTAGCGAGTGTTAGTCTGGATACTTATAACTAGGGGGGTAGGATGTGGCCCAATTAGCTCGAGCCAGAGGCCGAAGCCCTCAGGTGAGCGCGACCACAGGGGAAAGGCGTTGGACCTACGTGGCGAGGGGGTGTGAAGTTCAGGAAGGGTGGCAGCAGGATTGCTACCGCAGGTCGGGGATGAGTATCTCATGCACTACTCGGTAAGGATTAGAACCGGTAGGCTATCAACGGTAAAACGTCTCGAATCGACAATTAGATCACCGACCGAGTTATCGAGATACCGAATCAAGCCAGAGTCGAACAGTTAGGGTTAGTGGGAACAATGAGGATAGCTATTCGCTAGGGACTCTGTGCAATGCAGCCGAGGGAACGATAGACGCGCGCGCGAACGTCTGGCTGTTGCAATGGCTCCCGAGCGAATGCTAGGCGCCCGCGGTCGCCGCCGTCTCATATATTAGCTCGGTCCGTGCGGCGTGCGGCCGCGCAGCCGTAGGGTTGTCAAAATCTCCGTGCTCGGTGCTAGGGCTGTCGATGCGTCGCGGGGCGCGTCACATTAATAATATCAGAATTAAAATTTGTTCTGTACATTTAACAAAAAATCCACCAGTTATGACGTAGTCAGCGCCAATTTATAGTTCGTGACACCGAATGTAGTCAAAAAGTTGACAAAACAACCTTATTCCAATTGTAATGTAACATAGACGTGCTACGAACTTTTTGGCCTAAACTAATTTTATTTAGGAACTAGCTGTTGCCCGCGGCTTCACCCGCGTGAAATTCAGTTTGCCACAGATAGTCATAAATTATAGCCTATATTATGCTATTCTGGGTTATAAACAATAATACTGTACAGTTTCATCAAAATCCGTTCAGTAGTTTTTGCGTGAAAGAGTAACAAACATCCAGACACCCATACAAACTTTCACATTTATACGAGTAATATTAGTAGGATTAATAACTTAAAGACAGTTATTAAAGTACATCTATTAATCAGACAGAAGGATAATTCTATTCTATTTAAACGTTTAATTCCAATAAATCCATAAAAGCTTATTAAAGAGCTTTATAAATGCAAAAAAATGTTTTTAAAGTCTAATAAAAAGCAGTTTATATCGGACTTTTGGCAAAAAAGCATTCCCAGCGAAACGAGGTGTAAGGCTCGCAAAAATGTCAGCTGAATATTCGCTTTGTACCGTCAGGATTTACGGTGCACAAGTCTGATATCGACATCTAACGGTATAAATTCTAGGGGTAGTTTAGGGGACAGGGTGCTTAAATAAAATTACATAAGAAAAAAAATAAGAAAAACACCGAGCATATTGCGACATTGGTTTCGTAGTCAGGAGACAGATGCAATATAATTTTTTGTCGCATTTTTTTCACGCGGAAGCTCTGATAGAAAATGATGGCTAGTTATAATGTATCAGTTATTGTGGGAGTTTTATAAGAACACTAGCGGCTGCCTGCGACTTCGTACGCGTGGATCCCGTTACCTATTAAATTACCCCCTTAGGGATTTAATTTTACAAAATCGCGTCTCAGTGAGCACCTACGTTCTAAAAAGAACCCCCAAATTTGAGACTCCTAGCACTTGTAGTTTCTGAGATTTCCTGATGAGTGAGTCAGTCAATCAACCTTTCGCTTTTATTGATACCTATAGATATAACGTGTTCTACCTTGTGAGTTGTTTAGTCGCTCAATGAGCATTATCAACCTTGGAGCATACCTCTTCATCAGGCCATTTAGTCTCCACTGCAAGAGCACAACCCTCTAATTTACCAGGCACTTAGAGGATTTGGGCATAAAATATAACAGGAGGTAAACTCCATACTAAGCGCGCTCGAGCCACGCACACATAGACACCGCTCACCTACGCGTTATCAAGACTGTCTTGGACGAATGCGAGGCGCGACTGCGTTCGCTTGAGTGACGCTGCTCACGCGTTTGTGAAATTATTTTGTTTGTGCGAAAATGAGTAGGTAGATGGTTGCTTACACTCAACATTAAAAACTAAATATTCGTTTTCTAAACTACCAGTTGATTCCGGGAGGTAAGTAAGGTATTTATTATTTGTATATCAATAGTTCGTTTAACGTTGACAAATTGAAATCCAACTCAATTATTAAGAATATCAAAGTGTTTTAAAGAGGTTTTAGGAATTATTGGATAATAGTGTCAACCACCCTACTACATACCTACTACGTGATACTACTTCCTTCTCGTGTATTTGTTTGCAAACTATTACTATAATAATAACGTACTAAACATAACTACATAATTACAGTACGTGGATAATGTGGATATCTGTTATTGTCTTTCTTCCATAGTATTAAGTTTCATTTTTCTATCATAACGAAATAAACGCAACACATGACAAGACAACCCTAGCGCGACGGCCGAGCGCAGGTATGCAAAGCGAAGTACATACATGAGTTTACCTTCTGTTATATTTTGTGATTTGGGCCACTCTCCTCACACTAGCCAG